ACCTCTTTTACTGCAATAATTTCTGGTGATAATTAATAAGTCTTTATTATTATCTCTAAAATGAAGTCATATTGCAAACTACTTGTGCTTGCTGCTTAGTTTTACTTAATTCTCCAGCCATTTGAGTCAGCAATGACTAACCTGCATGCCAAGTCCATATGCAAATATGCTCCCCTGCTCTTAGGGGGACTATTAGTTAGCAAGCTGCCCGTTTAATTCTGAACACGTGCGAGCTGCTCGGGAGTGTGAATGTGCTGGCCCAGCAGACTTGTTTCGGTGCCAAAGCGCTTCACAATCAGACGCAATTGTTCAGTGTCACATCCCCTTTCAGGGAGTTCTCCAGACAGGGAACTCGCTTTGTCTCCTTCGCTCCCAACCATCATCAGGTGCTCGGAGATCCAGGAAGTGCAACCCGCAACCCAAGATTGGGAGTTCCTTTGCATGGCTTACACACAGCCTCCCTTGCCTTCCCCTTCTGAGGTGCAAAGGGCCATGAAAGCAATTAATTGTCACTTTCCACCTTCCCTTTAGCTTCACCATGGCCTCTGAACTTGCATTGCAGAGGGTTATAGTGGGAGCTGTGGCAGTGAGATGCACATAAAGTAAGTTAAAAATAGAAATGAAGACCCATCCCCCTCAATTCTTTTGTTAGGGGGTAGTATGGTGCCTTCTGGGGTGCTAACAGTATGATCCTGTGACAGGGATGCCCTAATGTGCAGATGCCCTGCTCCCAGAACCCCCAGTGGGGTGGGCCAAGGAGCTTCAGCCCTGGCAGGTACCAGACTGCAGATGCTGTATCAAGATTTAGGATGAAATGTTTTGAGGCTCTTTGTGCTACCGGTAGTGTCTTGTGGCAGGTGATGGTCTARTACTGTAACCATGATGAGGTTTACAGGTGGAGAGAACATCTTTCATGAGATCAACCAGTGGTACTGGAGGAAAAAACAAAAGACATCACTTCCTTCCCCTCCTCAAACTCTCAAGCCCATGAACTTGCCTGTAGGTTGGAAACAGAAGCTTCAAAATGGACCTTCAATGTACCAGCGTTACAATGTTGTTGTAGAAYTGAAAAAACCCAAAAACTTGTCCAACCTTTCCATCTGCACCAATAGGTCTGGCAAAAGACTCCACCTCTACTTTTAAACTTTGCAGGTATAGCACTCTCGTGCTGCACAATTACAAGACACAGGCCGACTTTTCTGAAAGGAGTGTTATCTCCTAGCTGGCTGTCACAGTGGGATGGATCCAGCCTGTCGTGCTTCCTTGAACTTCCTCAGGTGGCAGGGCAGAAGCAGCTGTATCTTTCACCAGGGGAATCCAGCAGACTAGAAGCACCAAATTAATACATTTTCCAGGCCCTCAGCTGGGCTCCCAGCAGCTCCCGCTTAAAACTATAGTGGGCACATGAAGGGCCTTGGTTATTGCTGAACAAATCCAGCCCTGTATCTCTATAAGCAGCAGARTATGAGCAGCTATGAAATAACAATGCAAGAGGTGAGAATGGGGCATGATATTATCATTAGTCGTATTGAATCATCCTGTTGTTCATCACCTTTACTGTCTTTTGTCTGGCACATTTTTATGGATGATATTATAAGCTAAATATACCCACATCTATATCTTCCTATAGTGTTACAATGGCCTAGGGTGTGGGGTTTTTTTTTTTTTTTTTTTTTTTTTTTTTTTGGTGTAGATTCTACTGCAGTGAAGCCTGCAGGATCTTCAGCCTTCCTTTCAGCGCTCTCCATCTCTTCATTTAGTTTTCACTTGCCAAGGATGGAGTAGTGCCCAATTTCTGTCTGTCCTGGGGGACCTGGGCCTCAGTAGGGCAACAAATAGGACTTTAAAACCAGGCAGAATGCACATTTGTTTCGTGGTTCATGGTGTCATGGATGATGGCAGATTGTTCTCTTAGCAATTTATTAGTCTGATATTTCATTTGCTMTTGCATTTTTGCATGGAGATGTCTGCGTAGTCAGCAGGCTAGGCAAGCCCTAGAAGCTGGCATGTGACTCAAAGCTGAATACAGCTTGAAACTTGGGGAGACCTTCTTCTTTTGATAAATCATAATTTCCTGAGGCTAAGTTGTGTGGGAGACATCAATTTTGAGGTGGAGAGGGGTGGACTTTTTGCTATAGGCTATTACAACCCTAATCTGAGCTGGTATAAAATAGAATGAAGAACAAAACAAACAATCAAACTGGAAAACAAGAAAAACATTTTGATTCAATGGATTTTAAAGCTGTTTAGTGAGAAAGTCTCTTTTTTTTTTTCTTCCATTTGGGAATGAAGCATTTTTTTGCAATAGAGATGTTAACATTTTGAATTCTGACCAGCATTGTGTCCTGCCCTGCCCTGCCTTTCTTGGCTGCTTCTTTTCAACTGSTTGGGCTCTGCAACTTTGGCTGTAGTCAGTAGCAGTGTTACCTGTTATGAATCATTAGAAATGTTGACTAAGTATCTCAGCATGGAGGCAAGTGTGGCAGCAGCKAGAGGCTTCTGCTGAAGAGAGGATGCCTGGCTAATGAAAAGCCCTGGCTTTGGGCCTGGCTTTGGAAAGTTTGAGGGGAGAGTTTCCCTCAAATAATAAGAGATCTTATTATTTATCACTTGTGTGGCAGTGGCCTCTGCAGAAAGGACAGGCAGTAAGAGAGCCATTAGAAACAGCAGGAAAGGGGAAAAGAGAAAATAAAGAAAAAAAAATCTATAAAGGTTTTACAACAACAACCAAAAAAAAGTTTGAAATTACTGAGAATTTTGAGGTGAGAAAAAGAAAAATAAATTCTGAACAAGTAAAGATGGAGAAGGGAGGTACAGGTGACTCAGTGTTGGCTAAAGTATGCTGGGAAAAAAAGAGGACAAGATGGTCAAGAGGCTATAGAACCCAAAATTTTAGAGAAAAGCATGAAAGAAAATGGAAAGAAATACCAAGTGAGGACAAAGCYAAGCAATGTAGCTGAGACACCTTTCTTAATAGTTTTATCGCAACTGAGCAGCAGTTCTCAGTATGGCATGATGTATTTCAGGGGGTGTGTTGAGAAAGTGCTAAGCACTGTGACTTTTGGTACTTTTGTCTGTCTATTTTGCCATCTTGTGAGGCTTGATACCACCCCAGCGTCTGGTGAGGGGAGCAGTCTGTGCTCCCAAATTCCGGCAGTTTTAGTTTAACTGGCAACCACAGACATCCCAGGGCAGGAGTATCATGCAATTATTCTTTAATTATATGATTAGTTAATAGGGTTTCCTATTAAACACCATGTAACTATGTAGAGATTACTGTGTAATTACCTTTAGCAGATCCAAAACTCATTAGCATATAACCTGTATTCTTGCCTTGTGGTTCAGCAGGCTGTAATCTTGTAATGATATGGTACTCAATGTGTTGTTATCCTGCCACTACGTACTAATTTCCATGAAGTTAAATGGACAGTGGTTTCCATACAAGCAATATATGTGCCCTGTTACCAATTGCCCTATAAACTTGTGCCCCTGTTGGCATCAACAAGGATTACATTTTTAAATTGGCTTTGTGAAATGTGTTGTTATAGCCTGTACTTGCTGTTGCACTGTAAACTCAGCTGGATGTGAGCTGTAAAAACAATCATAAGACAGGCAGCTTAATTAGCTTCATTCATTTGCTCCGTTGCTCCAAATCTRGTGTGAAATGCACACGTCCATGTTACTGATGTTCACGGCTCATTTGTGGTGAGCAGGAGAATTCTGGGCAGTAAGTGCTGAAGAATGCACAAGTTCAGTAATCAAAATGATGTACAGCTTAAGCTTCTCCATCCAGGGAAGGAGTTTAACAGAGGTTAACTCTTCTTGTGTATTGTTGCTCTTTTAAATTCAGCTGAAATATTGGTGAGCAAAGCCATCTTGGGTGTTAACAGAGGTTGGATTATAACTTGCACTTGCAGTGGATGAATAAATATTTTAAAGTGTACAAATATTTTCTCTGTTTCTTTCTGTTTTTGCATATATAAGGGCACATGAGCTGTGTTTGTTTTGTGGTATAGTCTTTGCTGTTCAGATTCTAACAAAGTGCTCCACCGTGCAATGTGGCAGGACATTAAAAGTGATCACTATAAATATATAGATATTTGATTCTTCTGCTTGTTTATTTTTTCATTTACCATTTCCCTTTCCAGTGGTTTTTGTTGTCAGAATAGAGCCACAAGCTATTTTTCCTTGGCCAAGAGGTGAGTCAAAGCCAAATTATACCTAACAGGACTTGATCTGTGTAGGATACGCAATTTCTCATCCTGTGGGTTATAAATGTGTCACTTTATACACGAGTGGTGTGAACTACAGCAATTCATGGTCCTGCTTTGAGATTTGCCCAGTAGTCTACCATTAAAATTAATAGTGTTTTGGGGGRATTGCCTTTCAACTATGGTAATAATTTCTGCACTGATAATTTTTACTGTGCGGAATATGTGTTTTCAGAAGCTAATGCAGGTTGTTAGGATGTCAACATGTAGCTTCTCAGTGGCTTTTTGCAATAGCTCTCCACCCCACCGGTCTCCCTCACTGGTGACTRTAAAGACAGGTACTTTGGTCAATCAGAAAACAGGAACATTTTCTTAGGATTATTTAAAATATTAAGGAGAGGAGGTGAAGGTTCTAAGTTGGTCTGAGCCTGAGGCACATGATTCATATGTCCTGCTCATCTCCTGCTGTAGCCACACTGGTACATTCCTAGGCAACTCTATGGGATGGTGCGATTAACTATGGACATGGGGACTTACTASCTGTAGCTGGATCTGGCCTGGTGACCACCCAGTCTTATGCTCTGCCCTGCTCAGTGTCATGGTCTGGGCCCAATCCAGCCAAACTCAGACACTCACCTGGTTCACATCTGTCTTCCAATGTGCAGCGGCACAATGTTTATTGTTTCCCTGTCTCCAACAGTGCTCCAAAYACAGGTACCTCTGAATCTCAATTAACTTAAAATCTGTAACTCYACTCTAAAAAATTTCTCTTCTCCCTCTCTGCCACAGTGATATGCAAAGTCCAAGGGATGCTGCTGAAGATACCAGTATTTTTAGAGTGGTGCATGACTTTTGTGGGCAAGGTAGGTTGGTTGTGGTTTGGGTGCTTTCAGTTCTTCAGTATTCCACATTGCCTGTAGCTTGATAGCTTCCTGTCATCTGCAGGTGTAATAAATATATTTTATATCCCATCATTCAGGTTGTTAATGAAAATATTCAGTAGACGCAGACCCCTACAGACCTCACTACCCAGTCTCTTATCTCCTTCCACTTTGACAGTGAGGTATTGAGGGTTTAAGTATATATTTTTTCCAGCCAATTCTGCACCCATCTTTTAATAATTTCATCTAGCCTGTATTTCCCTAGACTGCTTGTGAAAATGTCATGCAAGASAGCATGAAGAGCCTTAATAAGTTGGAATATATGACATGCACTTACTCCTTTCTACCTACCATGTCTGTTTCTTCATCAAAGAAGGAAATTACAATAATTTGACATGACTTGCTCTTGACAAATTCATACTGACTTCTACTTGTCTAATTTTTTTCTCTAAGTAGTTATTTGTTTATTTTCCAAATATTTGTCTAACTTCTATAAAGTTTTTTTTTTTTGCTGCTGAAACTTGCTCTGATTTTTTTTTACAGTTAGTTAATGCATCAGCTTTTCCTACTAATACTTCCTTATAACACTATACTATAATAGCTACAAGATTCTCCTCCTCCTATGATATTTCTCAGTAAGTTGAAATTTTGCTGACTGGTCTGAAATTTCCTAGTTCCTCCATTTGCCTCCTTTAAACAAAAGCATGGTATTGCTCTTGTTTTTCTTTTCCTGGACCTCCTAACTTGCCATCTGGGAGCTCTGAGCGATAATATCAGGAGCTAATATCATTTCATTTATTTCTTCAAGTATCTCACAAAGAAATCACATTGACCAAGTGCATACAAAACAGCCAACTAATGCCTTTATCCCTCTTCTCAGGAGAGATATTAACCCCTGTGCTGTTGACACCAATAGTGTTAATTAACTGACTACAGTTAAAGGAGTTAGTTGTTTTGATGTTTTTAGGATCTTCCTCTGGCGATTTACTTCTATGGATAACGAGACAATTCTTTGGTCATTTTTTTGTTTGTTTTTCTATAACCTATTTAAAGAAATATGCCTTTTTGTTGYATAGATGTTTTCATAACTCTTTCCATGCTTTTCTGATTTTGTCCCTGCTTTTATATTATTTTTTTCTGATTTAATTTCTACATTCTTTATGCTTCCTCCTTGTATTTGAGAGCAATGAAGCACTTATGCTCTCTTATACGGACAGATTTGGGGAAATGAACAGTCCTTTGTAGTTAAGTATTCTAAATACTTAATACATAGATGAATAAATATCTAGGAAACATTTAGAAATTTATATGTACAAGTGGGACAGGTTTGGTGGGACTATTGCAAAAAGGATGAGGGACTTTCTTTACTCTTACATATATTTCAGTTCTGATTTCTACTGTGAACTAAGTAAAATGTAATTGAACAGCTTTATCTGTGATACTGAAATCTGATGTCTGATGAGAATGTAAATATGGCATTGCTTGTTATGGTTTCCTCTCTAAGTATCTTATCAGATGTGTTGTGCAGTTTGGGAGGATGTTGAACCAGACCTCAGTGAAGATTTGTTAGCTTGCTAATGTGATCGGTTTGGGGGGCAGGCTTTGTTACTGTCAAGTGTAATTTCTTTTGGATTTATTTATTATAAATATTAATCTCTTTCCTTTCTTTTTTAAGATGTGGACACTTAAGAAAATACATCTCTTCCACCTATATCTCTGAATCTCAGTTGTGAGCAGACCATGGATATCTGGCAACAGCTGTGTGTGGAGAACTTTGCTGAGGAGCTAGTCTGTTTTATTTTTTCCAAAAATATTCTCTTGTTTTCCTTTGTTTTGTGGTGACTCAGTAGATACAAAATGACCCAGTCTGACTATAGCCTGTTTAAACTATAGGGTTATTCTACCAGACTTGAAATAAAGAAGCAGAAATTAGTTAAGAACTTCTGTTACCCTTGTCGCTGTCTGTCATTCTCTCTGGTAACTTTCATTAGAAATGTTCATCCTGCAGATGTTAAAAGTGTGGATGTCAAATCATTATCTACTTTTGCTGTTTTCTCCAGCCTTATTACAAAAGCATTATTGGATTTTGTTATGTTTACTTATATAGCTACATTATTTAACTCAATAAATTTGAATAGAATTTTTAGTCATTTGTTGTTTCACTAACATGTATTTAATGAAAACTAAGATAGTTTCCTACTGACAAGATAGAACTTGAAGTTCAAGTGAAAACTTGGTCTGTTGCCACCTGTGACTGCTACATTAAATGGCAAAGCTAGACAAATATGTTCTGTATTGATGGTATCCCATGTATAACAAACCTGGCCAGATATCATTAAATACAAATTACATTTGCATGAGAATAACAGTGGAGACAGGGAGGAAAATAGTCGTAAGTTAAAGAATCGTCAGAAGAAATGCTCTTTTTTCCCAAAAGTGCAGTCTTACTGTGGGACAAAGTTACTATAATGCTTATAAAAGATAGGACATTCAGTCCTTATAAATACTGTCAAATCTTTGTGCTTCTATGTTTAGACCAGTGACTTTGTTTAGACCATCACTTTGGGTGACATCATGTCCTTTTTTCTTTAACTTGCCAAAATCCTAAGGGTTTAATCCAAACTGATCTTCTAAACATTCTCTGTAGTACTTAAGAGGAAAGGGGAATAAAAAGAGAGAGAGAGAGAGAAATTTTCTTGTCATTTTAAGGCTCTTGTCCTGCAATGAGCTCCGTGTTTATCTGCATCGGACCAATACTTCATGCGGTGCRGGCAGCAGGACTACGCAGAGCTAGGATAACCCATGCTGCCTGCAATGAGGACTGCTGAATTCAGCACTGAGGGTCAGGTACAGGATCAAATCACATAAAGCTCCTTCAGGACTGGAACATGGATGTGATCTGTGGTGATTACTTTTCTAATATAATCTGTGTCTAGACAGATGAGTATGTTCTTGTTAGCTGATGAGTTGTGTTAATGGCAGCGGTAGGAATGTGTCTTCAGACAACTATTTACTTCCTCTTGAGAACTGCATTTATGATGTTCCATGAAGACTGTACACATTTCAAAAGATGCTGAAAAGCCTCTAAATGTCGCTGGTAGTCTCGATGCTTTATTTTAAATAGGATCTCATTACAAGAATCCCGAAGACAGATAGCTTTCCCTGTGAGCTTGCAGTCACTCTGCAATTATATGGAACAGACGTTGAAATGATGATGGTGGCGTCTCACTGTTACATTTTGCTGCTGTGATCTAATGTATTTCAGCAACAAGCAGTTCCCCCTGCGCTTTGTATTCATCAGATGTCAGCATTAATATTCTGTCACTTCTATCAGCTATAGTCAATTTTTTCAAAATTGAAGAATGTTTTTTAATCTACCAAAAAATGCTACTATAACGGCATAACTGTAAAAGTGAATGCTACCCAATATAAAAGCAGACTGAGATCTTATCATTTAAATCCTTACCCAGTGCTAAGTTACATATAAAAGCCTGTGATCGGCCAAATTTTGCATGCTCTAGCCTTAGCCAGTGATGTGCTGTGTAAGCATCCTCTCTCAACAGCAACACCCAGCTGTTGCACACAGTGAGGTTTGCAGCTATAATTCTAGTTATTTAGGATATTGATGATGGTTTAAAAATGCCTGTTGAGATTCCAGGCATCTTTGATCAGGTTAAAAAAGAATGAAAACATTCATATACCTGACTTAGTTCGCAGATAGTATTACATTATGTTTACATTACATTAATGCTACTCAAAAAATCTCTGTGAGGGTCCAGCCTTCCCAAATATACTGTATCTCCCTTGGGCACCTGTGCTTGTTTAATTCCCAGTGATATCAATTATCTTTTGAGACGTTCACTGTTCACAGTGTATCCTGTATCTCCTTTTCTGTCTACTTGATATGAAAGCCTGTAAGGTTGGGTATCAGAATGGAAAGATTATGGAATTCTAGAAAACAAACAAATGTGTGTGTTTTTTTTGTCCCTGGTTCTAAATCAATAGATCAGGAAATATTGAAAAGGCATTGTAGAAAAGAATAATATAGATAGAAGAATTTCCTATGGCTGAGTTAGATAATAGTACACGTGGAGAAACTTGGAAAAAAAAAACATGGACAATTTGTCCTACCTATCTATTTATTTCTTTGCATATATCTGCTTTGCCAAAATCAATGGCGTAGAATGGCATCATATTGCATAGAAAGTTCTTTTCACACTTCCTGCTGTTTGACGGTTTCATTTCTTTATATCTCTAAAAATACACAGGATGATTTAAAAGAAGTGTGGATGTAACAATTTGCCAATACCCTGGGACTTCCTCTGCCTATGTTCAATGTTTTAAAGCTGCATGAGCAATGGAGAACTCCACACGCAGCAGGTATTATCCACGCTACATCTTGAGGCACCAGGCAGTGCTCCCCACTGGAGGTTTTTCCCTCTGTGCAGCACACACTGAGCCTGCACCTTGTGCAGGGCACACAGCTGAACGAATGCTCTTCAAGACCAGAGCCTCCTCCCTGTGCCCAGTCTTGTTCCTGGCAGGTTGTTCCTGGCCTTCGCTGTGCTAAGGCTTTACTGCAGTTTGTAGATGGAGCCAGGCTCAATCTTCCTCCATTTCCCCTTCTGATAACCAGCTGTTGGTGGAGCGACACTGCTAACACCCTGGCTAGTGGTTGTGCTGAAGCACCACAGGGAGCATCTATTCACCTCAAGAATGCAGCAGTTCTGCAGAGCAAGGGCCCTTGGTTTCCTCTTTGCAGAGAGGGTGGATATGATCAGCTGCAAACCTCAAAAGCCTTTACCTTTGAGTCAGGGAATACTCATGGGAGTGAAGTCTGGGCATCTTTTTGTGCAGCTGCAGCTATAGCAGTTGAGCTGATAATACAACATGGTAGAGGATATAATCTCTAGTTTTGCAGTAGTTCCTCAACTTTTGTTCCTGGGCTGTTCCAGCTGASAGTTGGGGTGCTGAAGGTGTGAGTTTCACAGGAGAGCACGTCTTTGGGCTTTCACGCACATTTTTCCATCCAAATTCTAGAGGTGAATAGGCATCAGTAAAATAACAGAGGAATGATAACGTGGTATTAAGTGGATTTGCAATCTCTTATCCAGGGAAAAGCCCCATTAAATTCAGTAAAAATTTGCATAAACAAAGACTTCAGCAATAAGAATGGGGATTAAAATTGCTTTTCTGTGTTTACTTATGGCAGCACTCTTTATGTACCAGGCAAGTTACAACTAGGAATGATAGTGAAGAGTTCACTCTACAAAGAAAGCACCAGATTGGACTTAGAGTGGGGAATAATACGTTAAGGAGTTCAAAGCCCAACTCTGCTTTAAAGCATTCTTCAGTATTTGCTTYGGTACCTGTCTGTGTGCATGTGCCAAGTGGCAACCAGTGACTGGGGGCCAGGAGGGGATTCTGAGATTTTCTTGCTCACTTATATCAGCGCGTTTTTGATCATATCATGTGTTATTGTCAGTAGTTGATTTTACTAGCTCTGATTCTTACAGAGATGACTACCTGATTTCATTCCTCTGATCAGGAATGCTGCCCTTCTGCTAAATCATCCTGGGCACTTTAAAGGCACCTTAGGGCACCTGGGCACCGTAGGAACCTCTGTGGGATCCTCAGCTCTGGGAGGCCTCATGACAGTTAGGTCCACAGCTGTCCAATTGTAAACGCACGTTCTTATTATTTCCTTCATATCTCTCAACTCTTCAGGCAGTTTGCTTTGATTTACTTAACCTATCTACTCTTAATTGCCTTCTAAGGAATTTACAAGCAGATTTTCTTTTTCTTTTTCTTTTTCTTTTTCTTTTTC